CAAGACTGATAGGTCCTGGGTTGAAATCTCGCGAGGGGCGGGATCGTGTATGCGCATTTCTGCGGAGTCTCACAATAGGACGACACGGCCGTCCAGTGCTTCGATTGATTCATGAACTCAACCATTGAAATTACTATCATATCTACAAAAACCCTTCTGATATAAGTTATAAATATGCCAATTAATTAGGAAATCAGATTATGTTTACATGCTACATGTTCTTAGATTAATAAACAAAGTTACTAACAAACATTTCAGACAGATATATTGTGTATAAACAATACAAGATGTGAAGTGAATAATGTGATCATGAATTCTTACGCCTTTATTCATTTGTTAGAGGTCTTCTGTTGATTAACTTCAAAATATGTTCGAATAATCTTTGTTTTACTTTGATAATAATAAACTAACTATTAGAACTACAATTAAATTGCAATAAATAAACTACATTATTAATATGTTATGATAATGTTTATTTAACAAAATAATTAGACTTGGTTATAAATTAAACGTTTTGTAGGGTAAAAATCCTCATGGAGTATTCGAAAAAACAGTGGATATTTGAATGAACAATTACTTTCAATAACTTCATCATCAGTCTCTATTGTTATAAGTCTGTAATTATTATGATATTTTATAAAGGATAAAATAAGGCATATACTGATGAATTTGACAATTTTATATGTTAAAAATGATGAATGTTTGCATCTGTTACGACGCAAATACTTCAATATAGTGTTATTTGTAAATTGGTGAGGTTCTTTAATTAAGGTCGGAATGATTTGGAGTAGTGTCAAGTTCTAATCAGTATAATAGTAATATAGCAAAAGTGAAGATGAAAAAAATCGTGTGAATAAAGTGCTTAGTAGGAGAATTTCATCTTGTTAATTGAGATAATAATGATAGTAGCAATCGTCATAATAATACTGTTGTGTGAATATAATAAGTAATAAGAGAGGTGTTATCATGGTAATTACGATAAAAAAGAATTCATATGAATTAGGAGAGATGAAGGTGGAGAATAAAAGAGATATAAACACACACAAAATTGGGACGAGGGATAACAGGTTTTTAATATCTAATTTGGGTAACTGGTGATCCAGTCATAGGCCACGGTAAATATAAAGGCTGGATATGCCTTTTCTGTATACATAAGTTCGGTTTTATGGAGTTTATCTAGAGGGCTTCATCACTGTGAAGTAGCCGTAATCTAGGTCCTTGAGGCATATCATTTGAAACCTGAAATAAAACAGAGGAAACTTCCTCTACTTTAATATGAAGTTCACTGTCTACCAAATGAGAAAGAATAGTACTGTTTATCTATTTAGTAACTTCTTTTTTCAACCATGCTGGTACACATTCACGAATATGCAAGGATAAAGCCCTCTGAATACGACCTATGCAACTAGCTCACTGGAGCAGTTGGATCGGTGTACACGCATGGAAGAACCCATTATCGATGACCTAGTCTCAATTCTGTGGGAAGATATAAATCAGTATAAATAATAGGAATAATCATATTAACTACCACTTCGAGTGTTTAATAGATGACTGCACAATTTATGCACCGATCTAATTTGAAATTCTAAAAATTGATTGAGTTGTAAGTCAATCCATGAGAACAATACTAATCAAATCAAATATGCTCTCCATCTATTGCAGTCGAAATGACAATGTAGAAAATAAGGTGACCTATTTCAACTTTATTACCTGTCCGGCTAAACTTTCAGTAATTAAATCCAATGAGTATGTAAGAGCATGTAGATGATCATTCTTAAAACATTGGCCGAAGATAGTTTTATTCATAAACACGTATAGAAGTAGTTTCCTTTTACCTTAATATTACTGAATTTGTCATAAATTGTTTTTTTGAAGTCGATAAAGATGTATTGAGAAAAATATTTCCTGTTAAATATATATATATACTCTTATACTATGGTCTTTTATCAGGAATTATCACACCTAGTTTTATTGAGGTTAATAGAAATAAAGATTTCCGTGTCTTTATTTTCATTTTGATAATTTTAGGAATACTCTTAACTGTGTTTGAACTCTATTGTAAACTTCAAAAGAACATATTTATGCTATTTGATAACGATATCAAGTTTGTTCGCTTAAAATTAAAATACATGACTTAATTATTTAAATGGTTAAATAGAATGAAACTTTGGCTGGCTCACGTTAGATTTCACATGTCGCTTATGTGAAATGGATATTTGCCCATAAATTTTTTAACGCATTTGCATGTCATTGTTTGGCGTTCATTTAGTGGATGAATTCTGAATATAAAAGCATGATTTTCAATGAAGATTTTATATCAGTCTCTAACTTTCACTTTATTTGCTATGTTTCATCAAGCAGATTAGGATGCGTTATAGTAGCATATCCATAGTTGATATGTGTAGATAGCTTTTTAACTGTAGAAAGTAAAGTTGCTAAGGAAAATGTTACGCTTATATGTGTTAATGGTACAGTCAATGAACGGGAAATGTTTCGAAAATGTTACATATTGCACTTTTATTAAGCATTGAGAAAAAATCGGTATTCTTACACACCTATATCAATCATTCATTTGAAAAAATGGACAATGTTCGAAAATGGATGGGTTTTAAATAAATATTTTGCTGAATATTTATATTTCCGTTAGACATTTTCGATTTTAACTTAAGTTAGATTTTACTCCTCATAATCTATACATCTACACGTTAATGAATTATTATGAACTTATTGTTATATCCTGAGCTTATACGAATATCGCCAAATACGATTTACCAATTTAGATACGTTGACCCACACGATCAAACTAATGAATCATACACCAGTATGCCGATTGGTACCTTTTCCGCTTAGCTCTGTCTGTTAAATCCAGGATGCCAATCTCAGCCTCCGCGATACGAATCGTATGTTTCTAACATTTCGGATTAACATACAAACAAATCAGACCACATTACATCATAAAATAGAAAATAACATTCGTACAAGATCAAGCCAAAAATGACTGTGATTGTGAGAAACTGTGACTAACAGATTGAGAATAACAGTATAACAGTAACCAATGGATCAAATAAAAGGTTATAATGAAAGGAATATGAATATTCATATGATATAGTTACTTAATAGTCATACAATAAGAATATTCGTATATTATTAGTCCATCAATAATTGCCAGAGGTTACTATTCATTTATCCTCGTCCGAATATAACAAATGCAATATCAGTAAAATCCACCTTTGGTATTTTTAGTAGCAAACAAATGCTCATGATGAAGTTATACATATTCAATTTGGTTAAGATAAGCTTTGATCATACAATCAGTAGACAGTTTACCTTGACTTTTTTCTACATTTTCCAAGTTGATATCACTTCCTTAATTTGAATAAATTTTAGCAAAATCCACTTTTATTAACAAATTTTTATTGTAGGTAGTTAAAATTTTCTTTTTTTCATAATCTGTAGCAGTCGACTAAACATTTTTCATCTTGCCGCAGTAAACTTTGAGTATAACTTCTTAAATAAGGCGGCAATCAAATAAAGCATAAATTATTTCTGTGGCTCTTGAAAATACCAAAATATACATAATTGTCTAGAAACTTATATCTGATTGGAAACGGCAATTTATTTGTCCTTTTGATATATTGCTTAGAGAAAAAGGTCAGTTATATACGTATATATATATATATATATATATATATATATATATATATATATATACATATGTATATTAGCAAAGTACCAGCTTAATTGCTTTATGAAAGTTATTGGTTTACTGCCGCTCATATAAGATTGGTAAAGTCTAATTTCATAGTGAAATATTTGTAGGTGGTATTCCTTAGGATATTGATCTTAGCTGTAGTAGCATTGAAACTAGGAAGAACTGAACAGCCGTTTCATCTATGACCAACTTATATATCAAACTCAGAACCTTCGGTGGTTTTAAAGAATCATTAACCTCTGAAACCACCAGGTTACTGTAAGATTGTGCATAACACCAACAACAAGAAACAGCAATGCAACTATATGTTCATTTAACCATTTCACTCTAGACATGTCTGAACCCCACCGACCACATTTCCTCCAAGAATGTTGAGAAATCATTCTGAAGTAATTCACTGGTAGGGACATTATTACAGTCCGGATGAAGTGGTAAGTGGGGATTTTTTTATTCTGCAGGTGGTGTTAGCGTCATAGTACAAGGAAATAACTGTCTTTTGCTCATTGATCTGTGGTGGTACCGAAACTGAAATCAGTCACTAAATAATGTCACTTGTGGAACATAACAATCAACAAATCCACTACATTATAAGGTAATTGTTAAATAAAATGGATTCAGATTCATACAAACCCATAAAAATTATCAAACTGATGTACTGAAATAAAATCGTATATATATATATATATATATATATAGTTAACCACTGATGTAAATTTATTAACTACTGGAATATCTAAACTCTGAATAAGGAAAACCACATTCATAGGTGTTAATGAATAATCGAATCAAATGAATTCCTTACATAAAAATTCATGGATATATTTTGTTTTACTATTTACTGAAGTGAATATTACAAGAATAAACAAATGTATTTGCATATATCTAATGATCATAAGACAGAATTGAACATCGACTATCACAAAATTAATCACTTGATGTTAGAGTTATTCCTGTTTCATATTCGTCTATGTATTCATATACCTTCTATATCCATATTTTTTAATGCATTATATAACTAATTTTAGTAAGTCTTTGATGTTTAGGCCTGTAATTGAACATCAACTCTGGGATGTAGGTAAATCTAGCTGTCAAGTCTAAAATAGGACGAAACGTGTGTCCCAGATTTCACTACTAGCCACCATCCATCTGTGATTCTAAAGTTTGAGGCTTAAGGCAATCCGTGCAGTATGTACATATACCAATAAGAGATTAATCAATTGCAGTCCTAAACATCAATGGGAACATTTAAACAACCAATGAAAAAATGAATTAAATAAAATGTTATTTACTTGCAAATTAGTTATGAAACGAACTGCTCATATTCTTCAAAACAACATAATGTGTTTGCATAAATGATTATATTATATCACTTTAATTTATTCAATAAATACAACCGGGTTTCTTACATTTGAAAATAGATTTATTTATTAAATATTTGTTTCAGGTAAATGTTTAGTTGTATTACAATAATACACTTATCATAGTAAATGCATCTCACTCTGAAAATAATAATGATATAGTTCAACTATAATTGCTAGTTTGTTCATATATTGGTCAACTATATTCAATGTAATGAGATCAATAATTTTCAAGGTCTGAAACCAATTCAATAGCATCATTCACCTAAAATAACTGAGGCATATCATGTATATTGGTCTTGTTTTTTTATTAAGCTGACATTACTTATGATTTTTTGGTCCATTGGTTTATATTTTCCATTATTATTGTTATTATTTTCCCGTATTTCATTATTTTGTTTTCTTTTATGACAATTCATTTTCCAATGACATAAATGATTTAAACTACGAATAATTGTTTGACGAAATGTTGTACAAGAAATACAATAACCGAAGAAATTAATTGCATTATTTGTAAATATTAACATCACTAAACCATACTTAATTTGATCATGAGTATGTTTTGGCATATTGTGAAAATAATTGAAATAAGATGACAGAAAAGTAAAAATTGTGCCTGGTAATGTACAAATAACATGAATTATAGTTAATGCTGTTAATAATTTGATGACACCTTCTGGTCGACGAGTTGAACGTTTACATCGTGTATCTCCATGTTGTAATTGATTTGTTGATTCTGGTTGATTAATTGATTTTCGATCTAATTTACGTTGTAGTTTACTTGAATGTGTACTATTAGATATAATGTTTGTATTAGTTGTATTACTAACCATAGATGTAGTATTGGCATGACATCTCATTAACCGACGTTGATTACGCAATTTTATATAAATAATTACATTACTTGTAAATAATATTAAATAAGGAAGAACTGCAAAACTTATAAGATCGAACTTCATAAAAATTCTAAAAATAAATTCATATTCTGATACAAATGTACATTTAAATGATTCTTTTTTAGTTGAGTTTTCTATAAACATTTTATGTGTATTAATGGTCCCACTCGTTCTGGTTTGATTGATTTTATACAAATTTATTGAATCTATTTGAGATTGTTGTGATTTATGTTCACCCATCATCCAAAAGTGTGGTGAATTTTTTATAGCTACACTTAAAGCAAAACATATCATACCAATTATCACAGAATTTAATGTTACTAATTTCGATGCTTTATAAGGTAGGGTAACAACAAGTAACCGTTCAACTGCAACAGCACATAATACACCAACAGCAAAATCTGTTGAAAATCCTACAGCAAAAACATGAATTTTACAAGTTAATGGACCAGTTGAACGTAAATCCCATCCACAAACTTCCATTAACCAATAACGTAATACAGCAGTTAATAAGACTAAATTATCAGCTATAGCTAGAATAATAATAATTAAACGAGTTGTCAAACGATTTGACCGATCACCTCCCATTATAATAGCGCTAATAATATTACCAGGTAGACCAAATAATAATAGTAAACTTGCATAAACTTTTATAATCAATTTGCCTATATCTGGAGAATAGTTAGATTCCATTATAAAATATATTTTAATTAAACATAGACATTTTAATGTACATAGGTCACATTACTTTTCACAGTACAATATTAAATATATATGTAGTTCATTGTAACAAAAAGTCGTAATACAATTGAAACCATTTAGTCTCATATTATAGATTATTTGTCAAAATAGATAGGATACATTATGTGAATTGTAATTATTGTATAACCATTTATTTCCTATTATGTATTATTTTTTTTCTTATTTATTTCACATTTATTCACTAACCAATAAGTGAGTGGATAAATACAAAGTAATTTTTTATTGGATAACATTTGTAACCAATCATTTCAAAATGTAGATCGGAGAGTTTGGCGCAATTTATTTTATATTTATTTTAATATCTCATTATTATTACTGTATAATCAATATACATAGTTATTATTATATTCTTTTGTTGTTAACTTTCTACAATGATTTTGGTTGATTTCTTCCCCTCCATGAATTTCTTATATGATCAATAAAAATGTAATTATCAGAAGAAGTTTGTGAAGATATTAGAAATTTCATAGATTGGAATCATGAGTCAATTGAAGCTAGACCACCATGGAAAACCTGGCGCGAGACTGACAGGTCCTGGATTCGAATCTCGTGGGGTGCGGGATCGTGGATGCGAACTACTGAGGAGTCCCATACTAGGGTGGAACGGCCTTCCAGTGCTTTCACGTTTTCCAAGGTGGTCTAGTTTTAATTGACTCATGATTTCAATTTGATAAATGTCATCCGTTGAAACAGATATTCACTGTATAACATTTTAAATTAGGTAAGCTGTTCCATAATGGGAACGTAAATACACGTTTAGATGATAATCTATAGTATATGGTTTTAAAATATTATTGTATCTGTTGATGTGAACATGGTATTGAAATAAATAGGAAAGTATGTTAATGTATTCAATTAATTTGATTGCATGATGAGCCAGTATTCAATGGTTTACTAGTTTAACTTTAGACAATGAGTTCAACTTGGGTCTACTAGTGACCTCAACAGAATTCAATATCATCTAAAATCTTCCATACTAACAACTATCATGTTTACAGTACTGATTAACTTCAAGAGCACATTCTCAGGATTCTACCGAGCAAAGTCCAGTGGTGTTGGTTGTGAAGCAGATATCCACTGAATACAATAGAAAAATTGTTTTACATTATTTCCAGGTTGACTAAAGTTAGGTATATAAATCATCAATAAATCTCAGTAGTTTAAAGGTTAGGCTCTCACAATGATACATGAAACTTCTTTATTCAATCCTCAGTGAGGTCATGAATAAGCATTACTAAGGAGTACTTTATTATGAAAACAAAAACAAGCTATACAATGGTTTGTAATTTTCAATGAATAATCTAGCTTATGTCAGTTCGTGATTTCGTTACTAAAACTGAATGGTGGTTTGAATTTTTCCAAACAAAATAAAGAAGAAATTTTATTTGTTCTAGTTATATGTTAGGAAGATTAATATATCATATCACGGAGATCTTTGCGTTGCATAAGTCAGCAAAGTTTAATGATTTTCAAAACCCATACTTTTCTCTAATGCATTTATTCGTTTAGTTTCGACCACTATTATTCCTATACCTAATATATCCTGTTTCCGTAGTATGACGTTCGACTACAAAAAAAATTCTCAGAAGGATTTTCAGTAATTATAGTGTTGTTTTTTCGTTTAACTAAAAAAAGTTTTCTATTCAACTCAACCACATAAGTATGTAGAAAATTCATTAACCATTTCGCACTCATTTATGATCAGTATATGTTTCATTTTTATATAAATAAAAACTACTCAATATTATATTAATAGTTAATTTAGGTTGGGAATCATCATCAACAAACAAGGAGGATCGGATGCGAACGTAAAGGCGAGGATTGAAAAAGCAAGGGTCGCATTCCTACAATTGAAGAACATATGGAACTCAAAACAACTTTCAAACAATATTAAAGTGAGAATCTTCAATACGAACATCAAGGGAGTTCTACTGTACGGAGCTAGAACGTGGAGAACTACTAAAACCGTCATCTAGAAGGTACAAGTATTTATAAAGAGTTGTTTACGTAAGATTTTCAATGTTCGTTGGCCGGATACCATCAGCAAAGGAGAGAGGATAAACCAGAGAGGACAAACCAGCTTACAACTAAAGAGGAAATTATGGACACACGCTTTAAGTGGATAGAACATACCTTGAGGAAACCGTCAAACTACATCACGAGGCAAGCGCTTACTTGGAATCCTGATGGGAAACGGAAAAGAGAAAGGCCGAAGAACACGCCTGTTGGGATATGACTGTGAAAATGCTGCTGATTAAGGGGTAGCGAATTATTGATCGGACCAAAGACACGCAAACACGTAGAACGGCCTAGGGTTCTGATTGACCCTGCTTCCCTGTCTAGCCCAGCCGGTTGAGCCCAGAACACAAGTCTCAGCCTCGGATATATGAATCATTTTATTTCAAACACACTCTGTTTATATACTAATCAAGCAGACCACATCGTACCATAAAATAGAAAATAACATTGTACAATATTGACCAGTAGGAAAATGACACATGAAATAAGCACTGACCAATAAGAGAATAATACCATCTCCAAGTCCAAGAATAGCATTAGACTTAATACAATAATTTTTGGGATATTTTCCTAAATATCCCAACAACACCACGTTGGGAAATGGAAGCAGGTATGAAAACGATAAATAGCAACTGGAGACAACTAGGAAGGATTTTCAAGGACAGGGTTAGATGGAGTGTGCTATTGGGTCTGAGGCGTAAGTAAGTAAATATGATCTATTTCATCTTATATTAGGCCACATTTTGTTTGAATTCACTTAATAGAAAGAAAGAAATAATTTCACGTTCATGACTGTAATAGGAAAAAGGAAGTAAGAACAAAGAAGGAATAAATAGAATTGAGAAAAATTCTAATAAGTTTTCCGTTAGACTCATGAGACAAAATAATACATAAATAAAACGCTAAATCAGTAAACTCTCCGTTTATTATTCTAGGCTATGTCATCGATTTCTTAAATGTTCATGCTATTATCTCTCATCGTTATATAGAAAAGATACTGATTAATATTACTTTACCTTCTACAACATTAAAATATATCAGTGACATTCACTACAATCAGTGGTACAGTTTAAAAATGTCTAAGATTTAAAGTAATCAAATATTACAGGTCTTACTGTGTTTTCTTCTAAACAAAGTAGTATGTTGACATACAAGTTCGTTAACATGCCAAATGCATTAGGAGTTAATAATCGATAAATATTTTGCCCAAAATCATGAAGATACTTGTTATTAATTCTATTGGCTTATATTTTATTGTTTCGGATCATTTTTTATAAATCTCTGTTGGGAACAGAACCAATACTTTGGGATTAATCATACATGCAAGTTCATTATTTTTTAGATAATGCATCGGAGTACGAATTTCAATCTATATGAGATTTCAATGATTAAGATCATGAGTCAGTTGAAGCTAGACCACCATGGAAAACCTGGAAGTACTGGACGGCCGTTTGGTTCTATTGTGGGACTCCTCAGCGAAGTCGTGGATGCGCGCTGCTGAGGAGTCTCACAATAGGACGAAACGGCCATCCAGTGCTTTCAGGTTTTCCATGGTGGTCTAGCTTCAATCGACTCATGATTTCAACCTTTGGAATTTCTAAAACTCTCCACAAAACCCATTCTGATATCAAGATAATTATTCATGATTACTCTCCATTATTTTAGTTGTAAGATATATATATCTTATTGAGAAGAGATTATTTTATATAATAATAATAATGACTGAATCTAACCGTTATTTTTAAATTAAGAAACGTTAGTGGAATTGAGTTACACACAGCTGACGAGCGAAAGATTATACAAAAATGTTTGTCATTTTACTGTTACTCACTATCTACAAAACAATCAAAAATGTAAACGCAAATATTAATTTGAATGGATTTAAAATTGATTGTTTATGATACTAGGCCACGAATGAATTCATTAATATGTTATGACAGTTCGATTCACTTTACTTACGGAGTCTCTAGTTCAATCCGTCACAGTGTCTAACAGAAAGTTCATCAGAGCTCATATATTAAACCTGAAAACCTTTTTGCCGGTGTTACGCTTCGGCTTAGGTAAATGTTTACATACCAAAACATCACATTAAACTACGTATAATGGAAAGGAAATGTTATGAAATAAAAATAACACGTAACTTCCTGTAAACATCATATTTTAATTTTCTTTTAAAAAAGATTAATTTAGAGAGTACTACCTATATGTTGAGTAATGAACTGTCAAAATAATTTGGAAGCAGCTCATACATTTATCGGGATTTATAGCACCATCCACAGCTACTACATTACCATTCAGAATTACCCTCGGCTTTTAACAATTAATTTATAAAACTTTACTAACTCTTTAACATTTACATACATACATTCATTTGAACTGATGAAAGTGTGAAATTTTCAACAACAAAAAAAGAAAAAAAAGGAAGGGAAAAACTTTACTAACTACAGATTGTTTTCTCGAAAGGTATTTAATCAGTAGAAAATTAGTTTTAAATAACAACTAATATAATCGGAATATTTAGATTTTAAACTTATAGCCTGTAATGATTATTTAAAAATATGGTAACAAAATAACCCTGATGAGTTTCCTGTTTAATTTCGTATATTACTGAATCATTGAAATAGACCCTAAATAAGATTGAAACACCCAGGACAATACTTTTCCAGAATTGTATAAGCTTCAAAAAAAGGAAAAAAAAGAATCAAGATTGATATATATTTCAATCAGTTATCAGATAAAGTAGATTCATTGATAAACTATCATTTATCACCTTTGTCATCACTGAACCTTATAAAGTTTACAAACAGCCAGTAAAATTCTCAATTAGTTATAATATGTAACGTGAGTATTAAATAATTTAGTAATTTTGTTTTGTATTTATTATAGCTCAATAACTGATTCAGGGAACGTACTTTATACCAAACTAAGTGAAAATCATTACTAAAAATACTAATTCTCTGTAGACAGTCACATTGAAAGTGACAATATTCAATATATGTAGTTGCTTCCTGTCGAGAACACATGAAATTCTTTTCTTAACTTGATAAATGAACAATATAGGGTTGGTGGAGATTATTAGATTTTTGATTGAGATCATGAACC